TGGGAGGTTCTCATGTGTCATGGCGCCAACATCGCAGAGCGGATTTCGTACGGAAAAGGATCGGGTGGACTCGGAGTATCCTGGAGAATTTCGTTCCGGATTTCGAGGTTAATTTCGCGCGGATCTGTTTTGGCCAGGAATGAAGACCCCAAAGCATCCACGCGAAATTCACTTTGTTTTTCGCTCGCCGTTTCGGGCAAACATCCAGGCAGAAATCCACACAGAAATCCACACATAAATCCGCTGCAGCACGTCTGCAAGGCCGGTGCACTGACATGTGTCCTACCGTCGGATGAATTTTCCAATCGCGCGCTCCAGGGCTCGGAAGGCTCGGGGTGCCACTGCGCCGCGGTGGGCACGGGTCCTGAGGGAGGTGGGCCCTGGTAGGCTCCTTCCCCTAGGGCCTTCGGCAGGCCCTTCGTTGCCATGTCCGAGGTGCCCTGGCGGGATGTCGCCCCCCGTCAGGGACCTGCAAATAAATTTGCTTCGAGCGATCCCCGCCGAAACCTTTAGCGTTTGTCCCCGATGGCGCGCGGTCGCCTCATTGGTCGACAACTGCCGCTGCTGGCCCCGACGCGGCAGAAAAACGACCGAGCTGGCCCTGGCGGGGACTCTAACGGTCCAGGGCCCGCTCTCCTCCGGGCTCGCCTCCGTCGTGGCGAAGAGAAGAACCCCGCTCGCCTGTGGAACAGGAACAAAAGACGCAGGCGGCGGGGAGGGCGGCGGCGGCGGCGACGGCCCTTGCCTCTTCTCCTCCTCCTCCTCCTCCTCCTCCTCCTCCTCCTCCTCCTCCTCCTGGCCCATTCCATATCCTCGCAGAGGCCCAATCGTCTTGCTCTTGTCAGGGACTTGCCTCCTATGCGCTTATCCTTATCCTCCTCCTCCTCCTCCCGCCTCCTCCTCCTCCTCCCGCCTCCTCCTCCTCCTCCTCCTCTCCCCTCAGTCCGAGGCCATGTTGGTTCGAGCGCTGCTGCGCCCGTCGCGCCTTCGCTGGCGGCCGGGTGTCGGCGCTCATCACCGGCGCCGCCGTGGTGCGTCTTCCTCTTGCGGGCGCCCCCCCCCGCGATTCGCCCGAGCAGGGAGGCCATTTTTGTCCACATCCTGAGGGTTGAGTTCTTGTTTCTACTCCGACCGCGCCGGGGTCTCACGAACACATTCCTCTCCTTCTCTTCTCCCCACTCAGACTCACACACTCGAAGATGATGCCGATGATGACGATGACGATGATGATGAGGATGACGATGATGATGATGATGGTGATGATGATGATGATGATGATTATGATGATGATTCTGATGATGATGATGATGATGATGATGATGATGATGATGACGCTGATGAGGATGAGGATGATGATGACGATGATGATGACAATGATAAGTGCGATGATGATGAGGCGGATGATGATGATGATGATGATGATGATGATGATGATGATGACGATGATGATGATGATGATGATGATGATGATGATGACGGTCATCTCGATGACATTGATGATAATGATGGCAACGACGATGACGATGATGGTGACACTCAGGGTTACTCATACTGAGAGTCACACTCAAAGTCGCTATTATTGAGATTGTGATATGATGGTGATGACGATGATGACGATGACGATGTTGACGATTATGATGATGTTGATAAGGATGATGGGCAGATTCTGAAGATGCCTCAGGCGACGCGCTGGTTTTAGCACGGGGCATTCCTTTCTTCCGTTCGCGCCCAGATTGCGGGGATGTCTCGAGCGGTTCGCTTGAGTAATGACCCAGTATCGCCCGCTGTCGGAACAGATTTTGAGGATGTCTCGGGCGAGACGTTGGTTTTCGTACCCCACGGGGCCCAAGTTGAGAGAATGCATTGGGCGGTTTGCTTGCTTTGGTGGCCAGGTTCGTCTGCGCTCAGAACAGATGCTGAGGACGTCTCGGGCGAGGCGTTGGATTCAGCACACCCAAAAGGGAACCGCCAGGGGGTGTATCATTCTTCTCTTCGCGCCCAGATTGCGGGAATGTCTCGAGCCTTTTGGATGCTTCCGCACAAACATCATCCGCTTCCGAGGCAGATTTTGAAGATGTCTCGGACGAGGCGCTGGCTTTCGCATCCCAGGGGGTCCAGATTGCGAGGATGCATCGAGTGGTTTGCCTGTTTTGGTGGCCAGGCTCGTTTGCGTTCGAATCGATCCCGTGTTGCGTTTCGTATGCGCACAGCTATACACATCTACACATACATTCGCATCCACACCCATCTACATGTATGCATTTGTTTCTCTGTATGAAATCACTCATACGTACAAGCATAGACATATACATACATACATACATGCATGCACACATACATACATGCATACACACATACATACATACATACATGCATGCATGCATACATACATACATACATACATACACACATACACACATACATACATACGTACATACGTACGTACGTACGTACATACATACATACACACATAAATCTATATATATGCATACACATATACATACATACATACATACATACATACATACATGCATGCATACATACATACATACATACACACATACATACATACATACATACACATATGCAAACATACACACACATACACACATGCATACACACATGCATACATGCATGCATACATACATACACGCATTCATGCATGCATACATACATGCATGTATGCCTGTATGTATGTAGGCATGCATGTGTATATGTGTATGTAGGTGTATATACGTGTATGTATGTGTATGCATGTGTAGGTGTACGTGTAGGTGTATTTGTATGTGTATGTGTATGTGTAGGTTCATGTGCATGTTTATGAGTATGGGTAGATATGAATGAATGAATGTTTACATATGTATGTATGTATGTATGTATGTATGTATGTCTATGTATGTATGTATATGTATGTATATGTATGTATATGTATGTATATGTATGTTTGTATGTCTGTCTGTCTGTCTGCCTGCCTGTCTGTCTGTCGGTATGTATGTATGTATGTATGTATGTATGTATGTATGTATGTATACGTGTGTGTTATATATATACATATATACACATACACGTAGCTTCTCCGCTGTGGCAATCCTATTTTTTACGCGTGTTCTTTTCGTCCTGGCAGTGCCTGGGGGACACATTCTTTGTGTGTTTACGTGTGTCACTGCATATTGCCCTCTCCCGTGGTTTCAATCTTATGTGTTTTACGTATGTTCCTATAGATTGGGCCTCTCCTGGGGCACGAATCCTCCCCAGGAGGCTCCATGAGACCCCAGGGCGCACCACGACGCTCTAGGAAACCACAGGGGGCACCAGGAGGCATCAGGAGGCCCCAGGAGGCACCAGGAGGCCCAAAGAGGTTCCAGGAGGCCCCAGGAGGCCCCAGGAGGCCCCAGGTGGGCGACAGGGGAGCGGCTACGGTGGTCTGGCCCTCTTTGGGGCCGGCACGGCCAGGTGGGTGCCTTGCTGGGGCGCCCCTGGCGACGCCGTGAACCCTGCCTCTCGAGAGCGAGCGGTGCGCGCAGCGCGCATCGCGCCGATCATGAATGGGACACGCAACCTTGGTGGCCCTCTCTTGTGGCTCAAGTCCTAGATGTTTTATTTTTGTTCCTACAGATTGGGCCTCTCTTGGGGCGCGAATCGTTTTGTGTGTTTCCGTATGCTCCTATGGATTGCCCATCTCTTGTGGTTCCACTTGTACATGTTTTACGTTTGTTCCTAGAGATGGTGCCCCTCCTGGGGCACGAATCCTTGGTGCTTTACGTCTGCCCATGCGTGTATACGCACATGTATGTGTGAAGGTACACGTTTATGTGTGTATATACATATACATGCATGCGCATTTATATGTACTTGCATGTGTATGTGTGTATATATATGCATCTGCATTTTTGTAAACATATACATGTGTATGCGCATACACATATAAATGTATACGTATGTATTTGTGTATTCGTACGTGTCTACGTATATGCATGTGTAGGTGTATATGTATGTGGATATGTGTACTTGTATATATATATATAGATGTGTATATCTATATGTATAGAATGGGTATGCGTATATGTAGATGTAGCTTTTTATGTAACTGTACATGTATATGTGTATGTCTATGCATATAAATGTATACACACTTATATGCATATGCATATGCATATGCATATGCATATGTATATGTATAGAAGTGTGATCATATATATATATATAAATATGCACACGTATATACGTACACATGCATCTGTAGACGTATTTGTATATGTGTTTGGCCATGCATATGTATATGTATATGCAAATGTATATGCATACGTGTATGTATATATACGTATTCGTATAGGCATCGGCATATGTATATGTGTATACATATTTTGCCCATTTTCTGTGGCTCCGACCTATGTGTGTTAGTTCTGTTCCTATAGATTTGGCCTCTCCTGGGTTGCGAATCCTTGGTGTTTTACGTCTGTTCCTGTAGATTGCCCATCTCCTGTGGCTCCAGTCCTAGGTGTTTTGCGCCTGTTCCTATAGATAGAGCCCCTCCTGGGACACGAGCACTTGGTGTTTTACGTCTGCTTCTCTAGATTGCCCCATTCCTATGGCTCCAATCCCAAGTGTTTTCTTTATGTTCCTATCGATTGGGCCTTTCCTGTGGCTCCAGACTTTGGTGTTTTACGTCTGTTCCTACCGATTGATTGCCCCTCGCCAGTGGCTCCAGTCCTAGGTGTTTACGTCTGTTCCTATATGTTGGGCCTTTTTTGTGGCGTGGCCTGCGGTATCACGGCCCAGCCACTGCGTGAGATCTTCTGGGCCAGGCAACGAAGCGCAAGGTTTTCGCAGGGCGTTTCCATGAGCACCCCTTTCCTTTGCCTCATCATGGAGGGATGGGTCGCTTAGCCATTTCGACTCATTCACGCGCAGTCATGCTCAGGCCACTGACGTGCATATAGACTCATCCTGAGCTTGAACATGCTCAGCCTCATGCGCATAGACTCATCCGTACTGATGAGACTCATGCACATTCCAACTCATTCACAGTTTGGTTCGCTCCCAGCCTGTGTCAATTTTCAAGCCCGCTTAGATTCGAAAGCTTTTGCGCCTAGGCACTAGAGGCATTAAGGTCCATGCAGTTCGATGCACATGTGGGGAGCTCCACGTAGTGAATGACTTTAGTCGCGCGCTTGGCTTGTTTTTGATCGTCACAAGCTGACATCACGCCAGGTGTACATTTGCCTAGGCGTGTCCTGGCTTAGCGCCTCGCGACGGTCCCATCACCTTGCCGCTGGAGGAAAAGTGTGTGTGTGTGTGTGGATCCTCTTCCTGCCCACCTGCGCCCGTCGCCCGCTTTCCCCCCTGCCCCCGCCTTCCGCATCTCCCGCCTGACCCCGTTCCTGCCCCATTCCTGCTTCCCCGTTCGCCCGCCCACTGCGTCCGTGGGCCTCTTCCCTCGCCGTCCCTTGCTGCTGTCTCTCCTGGTCCGGTCTTCTCCCCTGCTTGCCGCCCAGTCCAGCCTTTGCCGTACTCTCGCCAACGGCTGTGACCCCACGGTATTGTGCCCTGTGCGCCGTTTCAAAGTGTGTGCGTGTGTGTGTGTGTGTGTGTGGAATCTGAACTGTGTGTCGCGCCAATGGGCTCCGAGTGGCCACCCAAAAAAGTGCGACAAGCTGGGCCGCTGGGGTGGGAGACCATGCCACACGGGAATTCAGGAGCCTCGGATTCGCCTTCGGCCGCTGGGGTGGGATAGCGCGCGAGATTTCGGCCGAATGCGATCGCATTCGGGATGCCGTGATTGGCGGGGTATCGCGCCAGTGTCGGCCAGATTTGTGGCCCCGCAGGGGCCCCAAACATTCGCGTTCCGCTCCCGCCTTTGCGAGCGGCGCCGAAGTCGATCACGTAGGTCCTTGCGCATAGGGATCCGTAAGGGCCAAGCCAGAGGGATCCAGGCATCCGCCGGAACACCGCAAGAAGGACCTGCAGGGCGGGAAACCATTGGGATCCACAGGAGGTGAAAGCATACACATCCACCCCAAGCATCGGGAAGCGCAGTAACCAGGGCCAGTTCTCTTGATCACGAGTCAGCACTCCCTGGTGCAAACGCTGTCTTTGGAATATGTCGGTGTGTGTGTGTTTATGTATGTGTATGTATGTTTATGTACATGTCTATGCATATGGGTAAATGAGATGTATATGTAAATGAACATGTACATTCATGTATCCATGTACATGTACATGCGTATACGTTTATGTATACGGTTATGCATGTACATGTGTATATGTCCATGCATACGTATTTATACATGTAGATGTTCATGTATTTGTGCATGAGTAGTTCAATATGTACATGTACACGTGTCGGTACTCGTGTATTGATATGCACATGTCTATGTATATATACATGTGCAGACGGATCTGGATATGTATATGTATAGGCATCTGCATATGTACACTTACACGCACATGTACATGCATATGCGCATGCACGTGTATGTATGTATATGTATATGTATGTCTGTGTATACGTATAGGTGCATACTCATACATGTGTATGTAGATGTTAATATGGTATGTGCATATTGCTAGGTCCACGTATACTTACAATTACATGTACATACAAACGTCTAATAACATGTATTTGAATATGAGTAGGATCATGTGCATCTGTATGCGTGCATATATCTAGATGTACATAGGTGTATGTATGTACATGTGTATGTGTATGTATGTGCATACATACGTACATATATATATATATATATATATATATGCTCGCCCCCCCCCAGCACCCCCCAACGACGGATTATCTTCCTCCTCCTGCTCCTCTTCATCCTCCTGGTCCCTCCTCCCCCTCGTGGGAGCACCCTCCTCATCGTCATTATCTTCCTCCTCCTGCTCCTCTTCATCCTCCTGGTCCCTCCAAGGAGGGGAGGGCAGGGAGCGGAGGGAGGGGGGGAGGGGGATTGCATTGCAGTGGATTGCGACCGATTGCGTTGCAATCGTTTGGTTGCAATCGATTGGATTACAATCGGTTCGATTGAAAAGGATTGGACTGCAAGGGAGGGAGAGGAGGGAGGGGGGAGAGGGGAGGGGAGGAGAGGGAGCGGAGGGAGGGGGGGAAGGGGATTGCATTGCAATGGTTTGCAATCGATTGCGTTGCAATCGTTTGGATTGCAACCGATTGCATTGCAATCGATTGGATTGCAATGCAATGAGGGACACGGGGCAGCCTCGAGCGACATGCGCAATGCGTAGGATGTCTGGGCAGTCGTGAATGGGGCTGCCTCGAGCGACATGCGCAGTGCGTAGGATGATGATGAGAAGAACGCGTAGGAGGAGGATGAACAGGAGGTGGAGGAAGGGGAGAGGAGGAGGAGGAAGAACAGGAGGAGTGAGACTCCCAATGCGTAGCTTCTTGGGGCACTCTTGGGGCGATACAGGGTTGTCGTCCACATGCTTCTTGCGGAGGCCTCTTGGGCATTTCCGAATCCTCATGGAGAGGCTCAGTGGCCACTTGGAGCCGTCTTGGGGCGGTCCTGGCGCCTCTTCGAGGCTCGTTCGAAGCTATCTTGAACCGCCTTGGGCTATCTTGATCGATCTTGGAGACCATCTTGGACCCTTTGCGGCCCTCTCGGAGCCATCTGGAGCCATCTTGCGCGCTCCAACCCGTCGCGGGGCCTCTTCTCCAGACGCAGGGGGAAGGGGTTAGGGGGAAGAAGGGGGGTGGACGGACCAGGCTCGCTGAGCCACCTCCGCCCAGGGGGCGGGTGGGATCACAGTTGACAATCCGTTGCGGTCTGCACTGCTAGCGCTCGCTCTCGCATCCTATCGTTTCCGTAGCCCTTTTTGGTTCAAGTTGTTCATTTTTGCTACCATGCCAGCCTCGACGAAGGCAGCGCTCGAGAGGAAGCGCATCGCCAACATGGGCAGGGCACGCGTCAGGGCTGTGAAAAACTTCTTGGGCAAACCGTGGGTGACGAAAGCCTTGAAGGAGGCAGTGACGGAGTTCAAGGCTGCTTCGCACAGGCGTCTGTGCGATGCACTGGCCACTGCTACCCTTCGTTCCACCTCCCGGCTTGACGCTCTCTGCGAGAAGAACAGGAAACTCACGAGGGAGCTCGACGCAGCGACCCGCGAGAAGCAGGAGCAGGCCGACGAACTCAAGAAGCTGCGGCAGCTGGCGCGGGCCAACGAGAAGCTGGAGCAGAGCAACGAGGAACTGCAGGAAGAGCCCGGCAAGGCCAAAGCCGCCCTCGCCGACCTCCGCTCAAAGCAGGCTCGCTTCAACTACTGGGCAACGCCCCAGGAGAAGAAGCGCTGGGCCTGGCTCACATTGCACCCCGCGAAGTGGGTTCGAGGCGCAACCGGTCCCTTAGGGGCGGCTGCGTGGGCAGCCAGTGAGGCGCCTGCGCGACCTTTGCACGGGGCTGCTAACGAAAAAGCCAACATGCTGCCGCATGGCGTGCCCGCCGCCCACCACGCTCCAGGGAATGGCGTTCGAACTTCGACCGCCAGGTGGCGGCATCTTGAACAAGACCTTGCTGTCGGGGGATCTTGGATCAGATCCCCATTGCTTTGGAGGTTCCGAAAAACAACTCGACGGAGGGGGAAACGGAGCAACCTACTGACGACGTGCTTTTTGACGCCCGTAAGCTCGCGGCTGCTTGGGCCCAATCGCAAGGTTCTGCCGTTCGTGCTCAAGTGCGCGACTGAGACAGACCCCGAGCCACCAGGTGGCGGTATCTTGAACGAGATCCTTCTGCGTGTGTCTTGGATAACGTTCCCCTTAGTTTGGGCGTTCAGAAAACAAATCGACAGAGGGGCAAGCGGGCCGACCCAATGACAACGCACCCCTGCACGGGGCTGCTAACGACGCACCCACACGCTGCCGCGCGGCGGGCCCGCCGCTCCCCCCGCTCCAGAAAATGACGTTCGAACTTCGACCGCCGGGTGGCGGTATCTAGGCGAGATCCTTCTGTCGGGGGATCTTGGATGAGATCCCCCTTGCTCTGAGGGTTCAGAAAAACACAAGGGCATCCACAATTTAGGATGCCCCCCTGGGAACGGAAATCGCGAAGCGCGACAGGAAACACGGCAGAACCACTAGAACACCGCATCGATGCTAATGAACGACGGACGGCGGCAAACTCGCCGCGACGCAGACCCAGTGAGGAACAAGTGCGTCTTCTGTGGCGCAAAAGGGCATCCAAAATTAAGGATGCCCTCGTGGCGACGGACGCCGCGAAACGCAACAGAAACGCAATGCGTAACGACAGGATCGACACGTCAACAACCGCGAACGACGTACAGCTGCAAACCCGCCGCGACGCAGCAGCAGTGAGCAGCAACTGCGTCTTCTGCTGTGAAAAGGGGCATCCCGATTTTAGGGTGCCCTCTCCGAGGCGGAAAGCGCAAAACGCAACGGAGAAGGAATTCAGAACAATAAGAACAACGCCTTGATGGTAATGGGCGACAGGCAGCGGCAAACCCGCCGCGACGCAGAATGAGTGAGAAACAATTGCGTCTTCTGTTGCGAAAAAGGGCATCGCATTTTTAGGGTGCCCCCCTGGAGACGGAAATCGCGAAGCGCAACAGAAACCAATGCAGAACAACAAGAACAACCCGCCGACAATAAGGAACAGCAGGCAGCGGCAAACCCGCCGCGACGCAGGAGCAGCGGGTGACCACTGTGTCTTCTTCCTGAGGGGAAAAACGGCATAGTTTCCTTCTTCCACCTACTACTACTACTACTACTACTACTACTACTACTACTGCTGCCACTACTACTATTATTAAAACTACTACTACCGCCACTACTACTACTACTACTCCTACTACTACCACTACTACTACTACTACCACTACTACTATTATTACTACTACTACTACTACTGCTACTACTACTACTACTACTACTACTACTGCGACTACGACTACGACTACTACTACCACTACTACTACTAGCACGCGTGGACTCCGCGCGCACACCACGTGCACAGCGTGCGCATGCACTATGATTTGGAGAAAGAGGGATGGGTTGAATAATTATTGCTGCGTTTTGATTGTAATCATACTGTGACCTGGCGGGTTCGGTAGGAGGAGGAGGGGAAGGAGGAGGAAGAGGATCAGGAGGGAGAGGCGGATGAGCAGCATGAGGGTGAGGATGAGGAGGACGAGGATGAGGAGGGCGAAGAAGAGGATGAGGATGAGGAGGATGAGGGGGATGAGCATGAGGAGGATGAAGAAGAGGATGAGGATGATGATGCTGAGGGGGATGAGGGTGAGGAGGATGAGGAT